TCCTGAGTGGCCACCCAATGGACTGCTATGTAGGGCTGTCATAATTTTAAGCTGCATCGACTTATTAGAACCCAGCCACAGACGGTTCTTGTATCTGATGACTCTTTGGATTAAAGAAAATGGAGGGCGGCTATCGAGGCTGGCAGCCAGCTGAGACAACAGATCCATAGCAGCTTGGTCAGAATAGTATCCTTGGACAACTTCATCGAGCCAATTGTTGGAGACTAAAGATATAGCATAGCTCATGGTTGGGTGCACTCGGCGAGATAGGGCGTCTACAGCGCCATTTTCAGAGCCTTTCTTGTAGAGAATCTTATACTGTAACCCAAGCAATTTGAAGAATACTTTCTGTTGCCATGCAGTATGTAGCCGCTGTTCATTTAGATGGACTAAGCTGCGATGATCAGTGTGAATAAAGAACTCGCCTTGAAGCAAGTAGTGACGCCACTGTTTGATAGTGTAACGTCCTGCCTTCTTGAGGCCAGGCCAGCTTATATCTGGTAGCTTTCCTAGGACAAAGACTGCCCTCACAGACCAACACCAGTCTTTTCTGCGCACTTTGTCCTCACTCATGCGTCCCCCGGGAAGAACTTCCCGGTCGGTCACCCATCGCTCCAGGCCAAGCACGCTTAACCTTGGAGTTCTTAAGAGATGGGCTTCCAGAAAAGAAGTTGCAACTTATTGGTACGAGTATCCTATTAATCCTATTAAGCCCTGGGCCAGGATGTTACATCCTCACTCCCTTAAGAGATCGACGTCCTCATCGATCAATCCCAAGCCAGGAGCGTCCTCTCTTGGCCACGTCCGTGTGTCCAGAGCCAGCGCATGTGCCATGCTGTGTGACCACGCCGGATCCACACCAGCCATGCGCACCATGCCTACGCAACTGCGACACACGCGCCCGTGAAACCGCGAGAGTCGGCTCTGATACCATTCTGTAACGTCCCGCCTTCTCGAGGCCAGGCCAGCTTATATCTGGTAGCTTTCCTAGGACAAAGACTGCCCTCACAGACCAACACCAGTCTTTTCTGCGCGCTTTGTCCTCACTCATGCGCCTCCGGGAAGAACTTCCCGGTCGGTCACCCATCGCTCTAGACCAAGCAAGCTTAACCTTGGAGTTCTTAAGAGATGGGCTTCCAGAAAAAAAGTTACAACTTGTTGGTACAAGTATCCTATTAATCCTATTAAGCCCTGGGCCAGGATGTTACAGATAGCCATCAATATAGCGAGATATTCCTTCTCGTAGACTGACAACCCTTGATTCCTGGGACTTAAAGCTTTGCTAATGAATGCTATGGGGTGCCCATTCTCCTGTAAAACTGCTCCAATTCCTGACCCGGAAGCATCAGTTTCAATGTGGAAGGGCAAGCTGAAATCTGGCAACGCCAAGACGGGGGCAGTACAGAGAGCTTGTTTCAGCACAGAGAAGGCAGACTCATGGTTTGAGGTCCATATGAACAACTGATCTTTCTTCAGGAGATCTGTTAGAGGCTTGGCAATGATGCTAAAATGACGCACAAATTTCCTGTAATAGCCGGCAAGGCCCAGGAAACCTCGGAGCTCTCGTACTGAAGATGGAACGGGCCATTCGAGCACTGCTTGCACCTTGGCTGGGTCCGTGGAAAGGCCTTGGCTGCTGATGATATGACCCAAGTAGGAGATGGACTCCCTAGTGAAGGTACATTTCGAGAGCTTGAGCTTCCACTGATCGGCGCGTAACCACTGAAAAACTTGCCACAGATGGTCGACATGGGCTTCAAAGGTGGGGCTGTAGACGAGAATATCATTGAAGAAAACCAACACGAAGCGGCGTAAACCTGGAGCCAAAGTACCATTCATTGCACCCTGAAATGTGCCGGGTGCGCCAGTAAGGCCGAACGCCATCACTCTGAACTCGTACTGATCCAGGTGAGTCTGGAAAGCGGTCTTGAATTCTTCACCTTGCTGCAACAGTATTTGGTGAAAACCCGCTCGAAGATCCAATGTTGAGAAGCACTTAGCGTTTGCTAGCTCATCCATCAACTGGTCAAACACCGGCACAGGAAACTTAGACTTCCTTGTCAGAGCATTGAGGTGTCTGAAGTCAACACAGAGCCAGTAGGAGCCATCTTTCTTTTTGACAAGCAATACCGGCGATGAGAAAGAGCTAGAGCTCGACTGGATGAGTCCTTGTGACAACATCTCCTGAACCTAGGCTTCAATTTCATCCTTCAGTTTGGGTGGGTATCTATAGGGCCGAATGAAGACAGGTTGAGCACATGGCAACAGATGAATCTCATGGTTACAAGCGCGAGAAGGTGGAAGAGATGTTGGTGGCTGGAACAAGTCAGAAAACTCCTCAATTAGCTGACTGATTGGAGCTAGAACAGTGACGGCATCCTGATCTAAAGAAGGAGCAGGCATTGTATTTTCAATTTGCAACAGCAACTGTTCCGGTTCATCAGGCAGTAACCCTTGCAACACCTGAGTCTTGCCAGCATATGGAATTGCCAGCCACTTTAAGGCCCAATGAACTTGCATAGGACTGTAGGCCTCTAACCAATCCGTGCCCAAAATGGCGTCGAAGTTACCCAAAGGCAGCACGCGAAAATCAGTGCGAAAGGAACATGAGCCAACTGTCCACTGAACTTGACGAAGCAGCAAGGAGCTCTGCAACACACCACCACCAGCAACTTGCACACAGCTAGACATAGAAACTGAATCTGGGTGATGTAACTTAGCAGCCGTAGTGTTACTGATAAATGAAGAAGAACTCCCTGAATCCACCAAAATATGCACTGGAATACCTGACATCGATCCCAACAACCGGATAGTACGAGCAGCACGTACCCCAGACACGGCGGACTTTGAGATGGCCAAAACACTTGTTTAGTTGGGTGATCATCAAAGTGTTCCGCAGCCGGCACAACATCAGGGTCCAGCGATTCCCAAAGAGCTTCGACCGCATGCAAGACTTCCGGTGCGCACCGGTGATCCTTACTCCACTTGGCGTTGCACTTGTAGCATAACCCCAATGCTCGACGGTACGCTTTGACAGTAGCCAGAGCACCAGTTGCTGAAGATGCTGCCGCGGGCTCGGCGGCTGCAGGCTTCGCCATGGGCTTCTCGACACGAGGCGGCGGTGGTGGTAGCGGCAGCGCGGTCCGTGGTGTGGGCTTAGAAGACCACTCAACGGGTGCCGACGAATGGAACAAAGACTGGGCGCCCGATTGGCCAGCCACCTCCTCCTGCACAAGAGCCATGCAGATAGCAGCATCGAGTGTTTGTGGTCTAGAAACCAGTATCATAGCTTTGAGGTCGGGCCGAAGGCCATCGATAAAGCGCATTGTATAAAACAGGGGATCAATAGAAGCAGAATAAGATTTGAGGCAATCAATTAAAACTGAGAAACGCTCGACATATTCCGACACCGTAGAAGTTTGTTTGATGTGGAATAATTGATGAATTAATGCTTCCTTCTGACCGCGATCAAATCGATCGTGCAAGGCTTGACAGAAGGCTGTCCAATTTGCAGTGGTTGGGGTGTTTTCGATGGATTCATACCAGCTAGCAGCGGCGCCTTCCACATACATGGTTGCGACGCTAACCCAAAGTGAGGGATCTACGGCGTACATGGTGAAGTAGCGCTCGCAGCGAGAACGCCAGAGGCATGGGTTTTCGCCATCGAATTTAGAGAATGGAAGTTTAGGGAGGCGGCCAGTTGGATGTTGGAGGTCATGGGTGTCGTGAGGAGTTGGGTGGCGAGGAGTTGACAGTGGTGGACGAGGAGGTATGTAGAGCGGAGGGGGGCGCGGTGGATGCGGAGAAGGGTGCGGATGCGGAGGCAGGTGTGGAGAAGGGTACGATGGAGCAGGTGGCCGGTGCGGAAGCTGTGGTGTCGAGCGCGGATGAAGGGGAGGAGGAGGAGGAGGGGGAGGCGGGTCGGATTGCTTACCCATGACCGGGACGTGAGTCCAGACCGCCCCGGTCCCGAACCCACCATCCCGGTGAGACGATGCATCGCCGTGCCCACTGGGCGCAGATGAAGAAGAGGCGACGACGGTAGGCCATTGAGGCAAAACGTCGAACACCTTAGAGTCGCGACCTTGGGATAGCTTCTGCAGCTCGATTCGCAGGTCGTCGATGAGCGCCTCCATCTCTGGGCGCCAAGTACCGAGGTCCGTGGCGGCCACCTCGAGGGCGGTGACACGGTCGTCGCGCTCGTCTTGGAGGGGGTCGATGCGGACGGCCTCCAAATCGGCAACGCGCCGGCCGATGGTGGACGCCGTGTCGGCGCCAGCAAGCTCGATGGAGTCGAGGCATTTGTCGCGGGCGGCGCGGCTAAGCTCGAGATCGGCAAATCGCCGCTCCCACTGCTCGTTGTGCTCGTCGAAACGCCGCCCGAACTCCTCCTTCGATTTCTGGATTTCCTCCAGTACCAACTTGAGATTCGGTTCCATGGCTCCCAGAGAGCATTGCAGACGGGTAAAGTAGGTATGAGGGGGATCGGAGGGCAGGACTCGAACAGAAATCTAATACCAATTGTAAGGAGAAATTACTGGAAAAGGAAGAACAGGAAGAACAAAGTAGTGAACGGCGTGATGGCCGGATTTTTGAGCAGAGTTTAGTTTTCTGTCTATCATCCATACCCTCTCCTCTCTCCTTGCTCCTACTTAATACATGGACTAGACTTGCCACATTGGGCCAACGATTCTTGTACTGGGCAGACGCAGTCTCTTGAGCCAGACAGCCAGAGCAGCCTCCTCTTCAGCTCTCGGGCGCGACGTCTTCACCTGTCACGGGCACGGGCAGGGGCAGGCTGCTAACAGCTTCGCCTGCCTGACCGTCTCCACTTCAACGTGCTTGATATCCTCCTTTGGGTTTTGGATGATCTCGCCATTGTTATCGTCGTCTCGGACATTATGATGCATCGGCGAGCAGATCAGCTTCAGGAGCACGCTCGGCTGCTTCTCTGGGCTCCTCGTGACAGTGGCTTCTGCACTTCGTCCAGCTGGGTCCAATCATCCTTCGGTCCAATCATCCTTCGATAACTCTCCTCCATTCCTGGCAGTGGCTTCTGCTAGCAGCAGGGCGAGCTCATTGATCTTCGCGTGAGCAGCCGCTTCTCTTGCCTGCATCTCTCTGTTCTCCTGTACAATGCTCGCCAACTCGTGCTCCTTGTCTTCCAACGTCTCCTTCAACCTCAGGCTGCTGATCTTTGCCTCCTCCGAGGTCAGGTTGGCCTCGGTGATCTTGGACTCGAGCAGCCTCAGCTTGTTCTGCAGCTGCACCTTCTCCTCCTTGGCAGCCTTCGCTTCGCCCTCCGCGGCTTTCAGTGATTCCAGCACTTCGTCCATGTCCAGCTTGGCTTGCAGGGCCTTGGACTTGTCGGTGCTTTCCACCTCGGCCTTTCTCGCTGTCATCTCTCCAAGCAACTTGGAGACCTCGCTAGCTTTTTCCGATGCGGATCTCTCTCTTAGTCGCAGCTAGGTGAGTTCATGATTCAGAGCAAGCAGCTCCTTGTCCATGAAGGACAGCAAGTCTTTGAGGTGTGAGCTTTCTGCCTTCGCTTCTTCTTCAGTGTTCATTGCCTGGACATCGAATTCTTGCAGCATACTGAGCAGCTGGGTCTTGTCTGCCCTGAGCTCCTGCACTTCGTTGTCTGCAGCTCTCAGTGACTCCGTCAGCCTGTTCATTTCCAGCTGGATAGAGCTGATTCCATCATCAGATCTCTTGAGCAGATCAACAAACCCAGCCTCTTTAGATACCCAATCATCCTTCGAAATCTTGGCCTCTGAAACCATCCTCAACTGGTATCTTTCCTCTGCATTCTTCATCGCCGCCTTCAGCTCTGACATCTGAAGCCGGGCATCGTCTAGCTCTGCCTGTTTCGCGAGCACCCTTTCCTTGGCCTCTCTTGCCTCCGACGACACTTCACGCAGCGCCGCCGCTAAATCCTCGACGGCCTTCTTCACCTTGTCCCTCTTTTCTCTGGTGTCAGCAAGCTCCCTGAGCAGCTTGTTCTTGTCTTCAGTGAGGTGGCCGACCTGCGCGCTGGCTGTCTTCTCGGCGCCGACGGCTTGCTGATGCGCCTCGTGCAGCAGCTGGTGTTCAGACCTCAGTCCATCAATGGCCGCGTGTAGCTCGCATGACTCCTCTGTTGCAACTTCGAGGCGCCTGCTGGTCTCGAGGAACCGTTCCTTTTACTCGCTCGCTTCCTTCTCCAAGGCTGCCACCTTGTCTTCGAGCTGGAGGAGCTGTGACTGCTTGTCCTGGAGCATGGACGTGCAGTCCTCCAAGCTGTTGGTCAGTGACGCGAGCGACTCCTCGTTGCGTTTGTTCAGGTGAGAGGCGGCTTCGAGGCGAGTCTCCAATGACCCCGCCTTGCTCTTCCACTCCTGCGCCGACCGGCTGGCGTCTGCTTCAACCCTCCTGGCGTACGCGACGTCGACCTTGAGCCCCTCCACCGCCTGTTCCGCTTTGGCGAGCTTCTCCTCGAACTCCTTGGCCTTCCGGAGCTCCGCCCTCAGCGCGGAAGCTTCAGACTCCAGCCTCTCGATGGTTTCCGCGGCTTCTTTGGCTTTGTTCTCCAGCTCGGTGTCAAGGCGGGACTTGAGCCGGGCCACTTCGGCCGTCAGGACCTCCGCCTTCTTCTCGCTGCGGCTGGCGATCCCCTGCAGCTCGTCCGCCTGGTTCAGAGCCGAGTCCTTGGCCTACGCGGTGGCCGCCAGCTCGTCCCTGACGGCCTCGAGCTCCCTGGCCGTGGCGATGAGGGACGCGACGTCCTCGGCGTGGCGCTTCCTGACGCTGTCGTACTTCCTCCGCCACTCGTCTTCCGTCCTCTGTGCCAGGTCCATGGCGGACTGCTCGCGCTCCGTGGACTTGAACCTCTCCAGTTCCAGCGCCTCCTCGGCCCGCCGCTGGGCGAGCAGCGAGTCCTCCAGCTTCCCGTTGGCGTCGGCGGCGAGGCGATTGGCGACGGCCAGGTCCTCGAGGATCTGAGCCCGGTCATTCTCGATGGAGGCCAGGTGGTCCCTCGCGTTCCTGAGATCCTCCTGCACGAGCGTCAGCTGCGCCTGCAGCTCTGACGTCCTCGCAGCCCTCGGCCGTTGTTTCTGAAACCGAGACCGAGACGTGCATACGACATGAATGAATGAGACGAATTAGCTACTAGCTAGCACGAGACATTATTGCAGATGATGGATGTATTCGCGTGCGTCGCCTTGTCTTCCATCGGTAGTGCTCCCGCGGGACGCCGGCGACGCCTTGAAGGATCGGCGTTCTGCCGCTCCTCCCGGTGATGGCTTCGTCGTCGGCGTCTGTAGGTCGATGGACGCCGAGGACCTGTCGAGCGGGGTGCCGGCAGCATGGTGCAGTGGGGAAGGCGCGCGATCTGCTGGCTTACTTGCAGGTTTTGCGAGCCTGCCGACTCGCTATCTAGTAGAGGAGCTCCAAAAATAGCATTTGTCTATGTATCAACATCATCGCGTACGATGATTGAATTTCAAGGGCTAAAGTTTGTGATTAGCAAGACAAGTTGGCTTATGAGCGCAAAATAAACGCTAGGAAACGCATAGAGAGATTCAGCATTTGTAAGAGCAGGGCTGTCTGAGAAAAGAAGATATAAGTAGTAATTACTGGTTGGAAAGAAAGATGCAGGGGATGATTCTTGCTTACTTGGATTTGGAGGCCAGCATTGTCAGATGCCAAGTGCACGTGGGAGCAGCAGTAGTTTCTTAATGAACTACTTTCAGGTTCAGGCTCCAGGACTTGGAGAGAAGAGGGGTGATAAGGAGGAGCCGGAGGAAGAAGAAACCGAGGGGATGACCATCCATGATGGTGGAGCAGCAGATGGGGATGATCGTGCAGGACGACGTGCAGGGCAGTTCTTCTGAGCATGAGCATGGGCACTGGATTAATGCCAGCCCACTACTGTACAATACAAGTTCTTGTTTTTTGAGCACGATTGCCACGAGCATTCTGGGCCTCGAAGGGCTAGAGAGGTTATTCCTGTGGACGCTGACCCTTTCTTATACTCCCTCCTTAAAAAAAAATACAATTCTCACTTTTCAAGTAGTCAAATAAGTTTATGGTTGACCGAATCTATACTAAAAGCTACAAATATTTATAATACTGAATAAGTACATTAGATTAATTATAGGATATATTTTTATAGCAAATCTAATTGGAGACACAAATGTTGATATTTTTCCTATGAACTTAATCAAATTCAGAAAAGTTTGACTTGTCTGCTTAGAATTGCACCCTTTTTGGGACGGAGGATGTAGGTAATTCTTGAGCAGAACATTCAAATTTTCCATCCTCTGTTGCGCATTTATGTTTTCCGATGCACTTATATATGAGGTGCATGTTTTTTTTTGTTGTTTAGGCAAAATACAATTTTATCACTGTTTGGCTATATAAAAAACTTGTGAATTGTCTCTTGCTTGAAATTGTACTAGTTGATTGCATAAGATTGTTGTCTACCTAAAAATATAGCAACTCCCTTTCTAATGTGCCTTCCGTGCAAGGATGCAATCATGCGAAAGAATAGAGCTGAACATCTTGAAGGAGATGATATCGACGCTGATGATTTCTACTCAATTCTCATAGTGTTCGATATAAAAAATTATCTTGTGCAAGAATTAAGTTGTAAAAAGTAAAATATTTGGAAAGGTCCATTTTTACCTTTTGAACTTCGAAGTCTAGTCTTTCTCCTTGAACTCCAAAATGACATCTTTACCCCCAAACTTTGAAAACCATTCAAATGACCTCAATGTCCTATTTTGAAGTGGTTTTCAATGTGGTTTTTGTATCCTTTTAGTTAAAAAATATAGTAAATACTTGATAAGGCTATTAAACCACATAAAATATCTCTAAACTTCTAAAAATTCCAAAATAGTTCTAGAGATAGGTGGGTACATGACAAATCCAAATAAAATATTTAGAGCTCTTAAAAATATCTTTAGAACATTTCGAAAATAGATTTAAATCTAGGGAAATTGAAAAAAAATATCTTCAAAAATCTAGAAAAAAATCCAAAACATTCTAATTGATGTCTAAACATGTTTTAAAAACTTTTCACAATAAAAAACATAAGACATAACCAAAATTAATGCATTCAACATTAATGTATGTTGCATTCATGATGGTTGAATTCATATTTTTGCAACGCAAAGTTTTTAAAACATATTTAGACATTGATTAGAATGTTTTTGAAATTTTCCAGATTGTTCTGGAAATTTTTCTCATTTTCGTACTTTTTAAGCTTCTAGATATATTTTCATGACCTCTAAATATTTTATTTGGATTCTTCATATCCCAATATGTCACTATGATTTTTGTCAAAAAAATTAAGGGTTAGAGACATCTTCTATGGTTTAAAAACCTTGACAAGTATTTATACAATTTTTTAATTAAAAAGACAAAATCATCTTTGAAACCACTTCAAACCATGGCAGAGAGATAATTTGAATGGTTTTAAGAGTTTAGGAGGTAAGATGTCTGTCTTTAGAGTTTGAGGAGAAAAATTTGTAGGATCTATGGTACGCCTAGAGGGGAGGTGAATAGGCCTGTAAAAATTCAACTCAAATCGAAGTCAAACTTACTCACGGCACTGCCGCTCTGTGAGCACGTCACTGTTGCACCTACAGGAGAGATTAGTTTACAGTTCAAAATCTTCCCAACGAAATTTAGATCAGGTATATTTCTTATCTTCCTGTAGGGTAGTAGATCACAGATCGACAACTGAAAGTGGTAGAAACACCACACACAAGTGGATCGGCTTCAAACTCTAGAAATCACTTCAACAACAATAGGAATACAAGTGTAGCAACACAAAGCACAAGATGACACAAGGATTTATCCTATGGTTTAGCTCGCCACTAAGGCTTGCCTAAGTCCACGTTCTTGAGGTATACCACTAAGGCTTAGGGATTTGCAATCCTACCTCGTTCTCAAGTCGATAGAGTGAACTCTTAAGATGAGGGGTGATTTTACTCGCTGCAAGAGGTGGTTACAAACCTCTAGGGCTGCCACAAAGTTGGCAAGCTCCACAGGCGACGCTCTAGCTGGTTAGGAGCCAAGCTCCAAGAGTAACAAACACAACCGCCGGCTAAAACGTGAACCAAGTGCTCTTTAGAGTTTGGGAATCAATGGAGCTACTCTCTAATTGAGTTTTGGACCCTTATCCCTGAAGGATTGATGGGGAAATCAATGGATTTGCTTGGGGGCTTGAGGTCAACAATGGAGTGAGAGAGAGAGAGAGCTCCTGCTCTGTTTTGAAGGAGCTGAAGTGAGGAAGAAGAGAGCAGGTTACCGTTGGGGAGGAAGGGGAAAGGTATATATACCCCCAGCCCCTAACGGTCACTTAAATCGTAGATAGCCGTTGGGGAGGAAAGAGAAAGGTATATATACCCCCAGCCCACAACGGACTACGCACCCAAGAGGTCAGGTGAGACAAAGCCCGCGGACTCGAGGTCGGGCGAGATGGAGCCGCGACCAAGGGGTCGAGCGAGCCGAATCCCACGACCAAGGGGTCGGGCGAGCCGGATCCCGCGACCAAGGGGTCAGGCGAGCCGGAGCCCATGACCAAAGGGTCGGGAGAGCCAGAGCCCGCGACCAAGGGGTCGGGCGAGCAGGATCCCGTGACCTTGGGGTCGGGTGAGCCGAAGCCCACGACCAAGGGTCGAGAGAGCCCCTCTTCAAGTGCCGTAGTGCCACACCACGCAAGACAGCAAGGGTAATAGTGAAGTGTAGACTGTCTCGACTGTGAATATGAGGATGCATGTGGTTGTTTGAGCACTTGGTAGCACATATTAGCTTAAGCATTGTGCCCCCCCTTTATAGTATGGCTTTTTCTATACTCAAATTCAATATATAAAAGAATTTAAACCTCCTTTGAGTTTGAAGCCATCTACATTTGTAATTAGGGGCTCCTCCGTTTCATGTAGCATCCTTAAATATAAATTCCCTGCTTGTCATCTCGATAAATCTCATTAGTTCTCTAATTGCGTGGTCATTATCACCAAAACCCACAATTAAGGCTTGATTGCACTTTCAATCACCCCTTTTTGGTGATTGATGACAACCCAATTAGAGCTTACAAAAGATATGAAATAAATACTGAGACTTTTGAGCCATGGGTGTAGAGCCTCCCCCTAAGTATGTGAATAGAGAATTGAATTCTCAAATTGGCATAAGAAGCCAAGATTCACATTTTAATGAAAATGATGGGGCTCCCCCTACATCCATGCTCCTATGGGGTGCTGCATACTGTGTCAGGTATGTAAAACGTGATGCAAATGACAGTTTATGCATAACATGGTTTGCTATTGCAGCTAGGTGTGGCACTGCCACACTTGCTGTAATAGCATAGATCAGAATAGACACCACATAGCATGTGATACATATAACGATATACATTCTAGCACAGTTGTATCACAAGCGACAACAAGATCAATATATGTCTATATCCCACACAAAGAGTCAAATAGTAGCATTATTTCACAATTTAGAGTTTTGAGCGACTCTCAAACTTTCACCTAACGAAGACTACCCTAAACGGATACGAACATGACTCTAGCTGCAGCAACCTCCATGACGTCGAAAAAGTTGTTGACCCCTCTAATTTTCTTCCCCTTTGGCATAAAGCACCAAAAAGAGAAGAAAAGAAGAAAGATCAACACCTACTCGTCATCTCCCTGGATGTCCATCCAATCAATATCATCACCTCCTGCAGCAGTCCCGGTACCACCATCACCATCATCGTCGTTGGAGTCAATACGTGCATGGCCCTGATGGTTAGTAGTGGTGGTGTAGCTAGTGGAACGAGTGGAACGCCTCGGCTCCTGTCTCTGGCGGTATCCCTCTAGGGTATCATCCCAATCTACTGCTCGTCCCTGCTGTTCCTCCTCCTCCTCCTCATCATCATCATCTGAATCAGTGTTGGAGAGACTCAGAAGGTCATACTGTGGAGGAGGTGGAATAGGAGGAAGTGGTGGAAGGTCCTATCCACGCTGCTGATGCTGCTTAAGCTGTGTCTCATGCGCTCTGTCAGCTGCATAGGTGCACTTGCCGAAGATTGCCTTCAACCACTTGCCGAACTTCTTCATCTTGCCTCCTCTATGAGATTTAGAGCTGGAAGACTCAGAGATATCTACATGAGCATGAGAGCTCCCCGCTCCCTGAGTAGCTATAGCTGGCTAGGTCTTCTCAATTTTGTAGACGGTGTGCATCCCATCCTTTGAAAAATAAAATCCAGTGACCCTCTCAATCATGAACATGAGGTAAGGGGCATAGGGCAGCCCCCTCATCCCATCCTCCACTACAAATCTCAACTCAGTCCACATGAATCTAGGGACATTGAACCTATCCCCACCTAGAGCAAATCTAGCCAACACAATTCTCACATAGCCATTAATATTTGAGGCTGATCCATCCTTTGGGTTGATGGTGTTCCTGATGAGGTTGTTGAGGATGTAATAGAAGCTATGTAGACCACTCCTCTTGCCATTTGCAATCCTTCTATCTCTCCACATGTAATTGATGTTACGGATCTCAGCTCGAGGCTCATCATGAATGTAAGTGTAACCTATGTGCTTCTCCCCAAACCCAAGAATCCGGCTGAAAGTGACAAAGTCGACTCGGTAGTGCCGACCATTATCCATCCAGTGAATCTCATCAGAGGTCTGGTCATAGAAGTATGTGGCATGAAACTGTGCAAGGACCTCCTCATTCCAATTATACTAGAAACCCATGATGTCTGAAAGCTGGAACCTATCACAAATTTTGATTACCTTGTCAAACTCAGGCTCCTCCTTCTCCTACATCTCATCCCAATCAATATACTGCATCTTGATGATCTTGGTTTTCTTGGATGCAAGAATGGCAGTGGCATAAAAGTT